AGCCTGGGGGTGGGGGACGGGGGTCTCGGGCTGTGCCCAAGAAGAGACTTTGACACCTCCTCTCACAAGTTTGAAATGCAGAATAAAGACAGTGCGAACCTGAGAGATGGGTTCTCATTATCCCACGCGGCCCACGTAAGTGCGTCTCTTTGAACTACAAATACCAACTTTGTATAAAACTCTTCTCGTTCTTGGCTGCCCTGCCTTGCTCGTGTGCTAAACACCCATACAGATCAAATCGCGGGGAGAGCGCGGCCGGGTTCCCCCACCCCACCCAGCCGGGTCTCCGGAGTGAAGGTCGGGGCGGGGGTCCGGGCGGTAGCGGTTTGGGGGCCTCGGGTTCCCACAGTCCTAGATGTGGCTGGTGACCGTAATACCCCTTCCGGACACCAGGTGGCGACCTCGCACCGCAGACCCAGGAAGCGGCTTTCAAACCCCAACCCGGGCCAGGGGCATGGTCACGGGGCACAACGGGTCCCGCCGCCCTGGCTCCAAACTGCCCTGCCCTTGTCGCCCTCCTGAACCAACCTTACGAAGGCTTTCGGCCCCTAAGCCATCACCAGGGCAGGGACTGCTCCTGATGTTAGAGCCTCGATGCCCACCCCGCTGCTCCAGGCCCCTGACACTCTGTGCCATCGCACGTGCCAGTCAAAAGGGGCGAGCCCAGCCCCCAAGAATGCCGCACTAGTAGAGGGCTGGCGAGACACATCTGGGGGCAGGTGGCCAGGGGTGCTGATTCTAGAAAGGTGTTCCATGAAACCAGCATAGAAATGCCAGGTGCCAATCACAGGTTTTATTGGGTCTGTACAGAGAGAAACGCTTAGTTGTCAAAAAAAAGAAACTATGAACGGATCCCTGGCTTTGGGCTGTCCAACAGGGGTTGGACAGAACCCCTTACCGCTAAGCCCAGGGTCAGGCTGCTATCAACGCAGCAAATGGGCCCGGGGGCCACACAGAGTGTGAGAGGGTCCAGGCCCCAGGGCCCTCCGCTTGGGGTCCTCCCTCTTCTTATTTTGTAAAAACCAGGACTAGAGAGACTCTGGGGTGCCATGTCCCCCTGTAAGTATTGCCGCTGGATAGGAAAGTAAAAACCCCAAGGTGACAAATGGGCCAGCCTGGGCAGAGGTGGGAGGAGGGGAGTGGCTAGTTGATGACCTCATGACGGGTCAGTCCTGGAAGGCACAGCAGTACTGGCCGGGCTGGACAGCAGTCCCCTGCCTTGCTGACCCGTGGCCAGCTCATCCCCCAAGGTTACCCCACAGCCAGGGGCTGCAGGGGCCTCTGAGGCAGAGATGGAGCCAGGCAGCCCCTCCTCCTCCCTCCTCCTTCCTCCCTCCTCCCAGTGGCCTAGTCTGGGGCTAGGACCAGTCTGGGGTGTGCGGAGGGAGGTCTGGCCACAGGAGGGGCAGGGGCAGAGCGGGAGGGGACGTGAGCAGGCAGGCTCCGCGCTGGCCCCGGGCCTGGTCCAGGCTTCGTGTGTCGGGGCCACTGCATGAAGGCTGGGCCGGGACCAGACAGCCTCTGCACTTGTCCATCTGCCACTCAAGGTCACGGCTGCTCCTGGGCCTCTCCTGAGCCTGTGCCCAGGGGCTTCCCCTACAGAAGACACAGCAGGCCCTTCCCCAGGGCCCATGCCAAAGCCCAGGCCTGCAAGGGGTCTGCCAGGAGGGAGAGCAAAGAAGAGCCCTGTCCAGGGGGGAGAGGGGGGAACCCTGTCCGAACCTGGGAGGCTGTGGGCCACACCTGTAGGGCGGGGATGGGGCAGGGGGGGGCAGAGTAAGAAAGCCCACTCCTCCCTCGCTCCAGTCCTTCCCACCAGGGACCCACGGCCTCCGTGGTGGTAGTCACAGAGGCGGCCACCGTGTGGGGACAGGCAGTGAGGACATACCAGTGGCAAGGTGGGGGTGGTGCCAACCGCGAGGATGTGTGAGTTGTGCTTTAGTAGGGGTGTGTGTGGTCACTTCCCAAGGGGCAGGGGCAGGGAGCAGGAGGCCTCAGGCCTGGGGCCGCGGAGGGCCTGAGACTGCCTCTCCCGCCCTGTCCCCTCCGTGGTCAGAGCGCTGGGACCAGCACTCGCTCAGTCCTGAGTTAACCCGCTCGCCTGCCTCACCGATGGGGACGCAGAGGCAGGACGGTGGGCAGGGAGGCTGCTCTGAACTTGCCCGGGCTCCGAAGACCCTGTGCTTAGACCTCCGCGCCCCACCGCAGAGGCGGGACGGGTGAGTGCCGGGTGGAGAGCGGCGGTCCGCGGCTCCCCTTCCTGCAGAGCGGGGCTCTGTGCCGTCTGGGGGTGGCCTGTCCTGGGGCTCCCCGTCTGGAAGCGCTGGGCGCCTGCAGAGCCTCCTTTACCCAAGCCCAGAGCAAGTGCCCCGCACAGTCGCCCAGGGCAGCTGTCGCCCTCCGGCAATGCCCGCATCACGGGGACAAG